CCCCCCCCCCCCCCCCCCCCTCCCCAGCGCCCCCAGGAATCCGTCCTGGATCTGCCTACGCTATTAGCAGGGCTGTCGATGACTGCCTGTTTGCTTGAAAGCAGGTTGATAGACGGTTTTGACTCATTGGCATGCCACGCAGTATTAGCTTACAATCGAAACGAATGAACGAGTCGTAGAGGAATTGGTTTTCTCACTGGCAGTGAAATTGAACTTTTTTAGCATGAAAATGGCGTTTTTTTATGGCTGATTTTTGACCATTAGCATGGCATTAAAGCAGAAATTAATTCATAGTTTGGTTCTCCAACAATGCAACCAGCAGCTTGTCCAATCGCTTTGACGAATGCTGCAATGCCCGATGGTCATGGCTTTCTGATAACCTTGACCATTTGCTTCGTATTCTGGCCATCAGCAATTCCTCCGACATAAAACATCTGTAGTAGGGTTTTAGCCGTTTCGAGATATTTTTGACTTAGATTGGGCTCCATACCTCACATCTCCTGTTCTGCTACTCCTAGGCCATAAGGGGTAACTGCGGGCTAATAAACTACGTTGGTACCATTCAATTATCCGCTTTGTCCATCTGCTATCTCCTGTCCTCCTCGGCTCGGCTTTTTTTTTATACGTTATAAAAGTGATATATGATTTCTTATACGTTATAAAGTGATATTTATGCTCCTTTTTTTTGCAACTTCTCATCATTGTTTTTTTTCGCTTTTTCAGCTATAATTTTATCAGATTTTTGCTTGAAGACGTGAGATGTCGGATGGTCTGGTGCAGCGACGTAAAATACCGGCCGCAGTCGTCAAGGGCGAAGAGGTAAATTCTCTCCCTCCGAAATGAGGTCCCTCACTTTTCCAGCCCTTGACAAATTGAGTTTGGTTTTTTCAGGTAAAAGATGCGGAAGAAATAGAAAGCGATGATTCGAAGGGTGAATTCGAAGATGACAAAGATACACGATTAACACTGATGGAACAGATTTTGCTGCTGGGATTGAAAGACAGAGAAGTATGGGTCCTTCCTTTTGCACTTTTGCGTAATTTAAGGATCATTTCATTTAACGTGGTCTCCTTTACTAGTGTTATGGGACCCTTGTTGTTAGTGAGATACAGCCGTGTTTTGTGGGAAGAATTTAGCGGAAAAGTAGTGACATATTTTCAGGAAAAAAATGGAAGTCCGGGAATCGAACCACTCTCTTTCACATTTAGACGCGAAGTGCTTCCCATAGCGTCACTGGCCTTTATACTCCAAGAGCAGTCTGGCAGCACATCTACTATGTATTTGCCTTTCAGTGTAGAATACATCTTTTCCGGGCTACTTTCTACAGGCAATATACTACCCTTTTCTTTGTGGCAGCTTCATCCGTGCCTACTTTTCACTGGTTTTATATAACCTGTATAATTTACTCTTTTCGATAATTGGAAGCAAAACAATAATACACAATATAATTAGTCCCATATGTCAGGCATAGCCATGTGCTAATAGAACTGTCAGTTAACGGCTTCCTTTTATATTTAGTGGCTGCTGCCTAACATCGCCAGTTCTTATTCGGGGAAGAGTGAGAGGGAAGGAAGGGGGGAGGTCTGTTCATGCATTTTCTGGAGCTCCCCTTATATTAAAATCGCAAGCTCAAATTGATCCTAAAAACGATTTTCAGGGCTACACATCGTTTTGGAATGACTGTATCAGTAGCGGTCTTCGTGGTTGTGTTCTCATCGAATTGGCTCTGAAAAACAGGATCGAGCTTGAGAAATGCGGAATGAGGAAGAGAAGCTTAGTGGGCAGAAAGGCATCACTTTTTTTTATATAATACTTGGAACAGATGAACTTCTGCTAAAAATACAATAATTTCGCTCGTCATTTAATATTCATTGCTACAAAAACGCTTCTCGCGTACACAGAATAGGAATGAACAAGTACAAGCTATAGCATTGATCGTGATAAGGATCTTCTTCGAGGACCCTTATCACAAGCGTAATCGTTTACTTTTCCGGTGGGCATTACTCAGTGCGGATCGTCCACCGCTTGTCGGCAAGGGATTTCCCCTGCCCATTAAAACAGCTGAAGGGGCAGGGATCAGTCACTTTGTCTCCCACAATGCTGGTCACCGGATACTTCTGCCGGTAAAACCGCTGAGCCGTTTAGGAAACGAAACGAACGTCAGGATCGCTATCAGACTGATAAGCAGGCGATGCACTGTCGTTGAAAGCAGTAAAACAATGAACTATCAGTTGTTCCAAGCGTACCAAGACTTCTCGAACTATTATTGTGGGTATCCCCCGTTTGTTAGTGATGTTACTAGGATAGTGTGGGACAGCATGGTAAACTGTAGAAGTTCATAAAGGATATCACGGCATCGCATGAGTAGTATTATAAGGTAGTACAGTAGAAGAAAACAGTGTATGAAATAACTGGAAATGGCAAAATATGGCAAAAGTAAGCGCTGTATCTGTTTGCAAATCTTTAAAATATGTCCTTGCCGAAATTGTGCATGATTCTCCGAGAATTTGGCTTGGGAGCATATAAGCCAAGTAGTGCCGATTCAGCCAAGGAATCAGATGTGCCAGATCTGCCTTGATTTTTGAACTCTATATGACTCAGTGGTTTTCTTCGAAAATCTGACTTTTATATCCGCTCCCAAAAATTTCGTCGCATTCGCAAGTGTTTTTCATAGTTCTGGTTTCGTTTGTTTTTTGTTTATCCCAAAAACAGCCGTATGTTTTTTTTCGTGATTTGGTGCTGATTTTTTCCTGATATTTTAGGTGTTACTTAAAAACGAACAGCCAACCGGTGATGTGATTCTGGACGAAGCATTGAAACACATCAAAGAAACGCAGCCACCGGAGACCGTGACGAACTGGATTGAGTATCTTAGTGGTGAAACTTGGAATCCACTAAAATTACGTTTTCAGGTTTGTATTCAACTTGGCATTTTGTAACTGAGGATATGAGGGAGAATGAAGTAGGAGGAAAAAGCATTTCAATCCGAAGCATGTGAGGGATCATATCCCCCCAGATTTTTCAACGAAAAATGAATCTGTGCAAAAGTAGCTCCACTGAGTAGTGCATCCACCCGCCGGCAAAACTGTTTAGGCAACCCTTTTTCAGAGTTTTTTTCAAAAGTATGCCTATGGAAGGTGTGTTCGCTCGGCATATGCCAGTACCAATTTACCATCGAAACGAATGAGAATCTGCAAATTTTCAGCGAGAGAATGTCGCTACTTACCATAACAAAGTATAAAAATATGGGAATTATGTTTCTTGTAGCTCCTGTATGTTCCACCGTTGTTCAAAACTTTTGTTTCTTCGCTTCAGCTTCGCAATGTTCGTGAACGATTGGCGAAGAATTTGGTTGAAAAAGGCGTACTGACCACTGAGAAGCAGAATTTCTTTCTTTTCGACATGACCACGCATCCACTTCATGATGGTAACATGAAGCAAAAACTGATCAAGGTTCATTTCTTTACTTTTGGAGATGCTGCAGAAGTCCATTTGCAAACTGAACTTATAATTTGTTCTCCAAGATCGAACATGGAGGAGCTTTTTGGTTTACAGCATGCTTTCTTACTTGGAACACCAAGAATAGCTGTAATTCACAACTTGGTTTTTCAGCTATGTAAAATTAGTAATTTTCTTCCAATTACTTTATTTTGGTAGCGTTAAATAGTGCTGCGTTATATTTTGGCTTACCAGCTGACAATTCTGATCTTTTTTTGGGTCCCAACGGAAGTAAAAGGCAGTACGGGCCTCAAAGGGAATTCCAGTTTGGCAGTTCGCCCAGCGGAAACACTTGACAGGACTTTAGCAGTTTCGAGATTTTATTGGTTTCTGTCGAGCACTGTCATTTTTGGGCACTAATTGGGGGATGGCGCCATATAACTAAAACAGCGCCAGGAACAAACAATTTCAGGCGGATGCACTTTTTTGCCCACAAAAAATAGGATTTTTTGTGAATTATAGAAAGTACAAGAAGCAGTATTATCGCGATGGACCAATGATGTACACAGAATGGAGAAGAGGATGGTTTCACTTGTGGTACTGGCACACGCCAGCGATGTACTGGAAAATGCTTTTGCCCCACTCTCCGATCAGGTTTATTTTGAT